CACACGACTTTTGTATACGCATTTAGCTTATTTAGTTTTATTGCGTTGATTATAAAACAATTTTCTCAAAACGGTAACCGTAATTGATAAAGCAATTTGCTAGAAAATGGGATAAATAAATGTCTAATAAAAAATAAATATGCCTAAACTATAAACCTTATCGTTTTATTTCTTTCTATCAATCAAGTATTTATGTATAATTGACTTCTATTAGTTATTAAAAAATTTCTAATAGTAATTCAAGAACCTATTCTTTATATTTAAAATAAAAGACCAATTTGCTTTTATATTTCAAGTGCGCAAAAAGGTTATAACCTTACACTTTACTGCTATCTTTTCATAATCTGGAGTATACAAAAGTTTTTGGTTACATTGAAACCAAACAACGAGTACGAGTAGCAGAACAGGTTAACATTGCTTATCGGAAACAAGGTCAGGCCAAGTCAAATGACATCATCTCTTTAAAACTACCTTACGTGAATACAAATCGCAAATAGAATCTTTAAAGATTTATAAATTTAAAGATTTTTATTTAATGATTATTGCGTATCATTATTTGATATTGATTTTGAAATTAGAAGCTACACCATTTTGAACAGACTTCAAAAGGAGGTTATAGGTATATTCGACGGCCAAATATTCTTTTTTATGTTCACCGATATTTCCGCCAATTGATTACCTATTTTCAAAATCTGTTGTTCAAGTTTAGAAATTGCATCAGTACTTTTCTTTTTATAAAAAAACAAAATATGACTTTCCTGAGATATTACCTAAACATATTAATGTTATTTTTATATCAGAAAAAATTATAGATTTCTGCGTTCAAAACAAGTATTAAGAATAATATCTTATTTGTGCATATTAATGGTAACATTTTGTATAAATTTATGATACCGATTAAGTTTTGAGCTCAGATAAAATCCCTATGGTTTTGAAGTTCTATTCTCAGTAAAATTGTCTTTTAAACTTTACTCTTTCGTTGTCTTGCACCCGATCTTGCACCTGTCCTCGGGTATCTGTATTTCTATTGAACTATCAGTAATATTATGATTTTTTCGTGGTTACGTCGTGCAATTAAATAATTTCAGGCCTAACGAATATTATTTTTTGTAGATATTTAATATTTTAGCGATATCTATACAAAATATTTAAATAAACTACCTATTGTTCTACTTAATCACTAAAAAAAATAAAATAAAATCATTTTTCAAAAAATAGAACAGACTTCAAATATAAAAAGTGATAAATAATACTTATATTAAGAGCAGTTACATTTTTCAAGAAACATTATCGTCCAGTAGGTAAATGAGCATGAAAATTAATTAAAAAAAGAATTCGTTTATCAATTATAATTCCCTTTAGCTAAATAATTATTTTTTATGATATCACGGGGAATTAAAGGTTCGCCACTGTAATAGTGCGTCAGACCAATGAATGTCGAATGACTCACTATTTCAACGCAAGGACCCTAGTGTAATTAAAGTATAATGGCTATTGTAACTGTTAGTTGCAAGGTAGTCAGCCGACCATTGACGATGACCAAAAGCGAGAACTCATAGGTAAAACTAGACGAAACAAGGAAATCGGAATGTTTTTTTTAATGTTTACAATGAGTACCTAAAAAGAAGTCGAAACAGTCGCTACCGAGAAAGTGGTCACGTAGTATGGTTTCTTTTTAAATAATTCCCTATTAACATGATTTTTTTAATGGTATTTGACAGATACAAGAAGATAATAAAGTCTCTATCCTTCTCGTTGTCTTGTCTCAGGATTCCTTGTAGTTCTTCAGATTACGGCGTAAGGTAAAGAAAATACAAACAGTTTCTTATTACGTACCTGCGAAATTATAACTACTATAAGATTCTTCAATAAGTATCTTTTTGATATTTTTATTTTATTTTATAGGAATTAATTTGAACAGTTCATAGATATAGATAGGAAATCATTTATACAAAATTCAAATCAAATTAAATAAAACATACATTAATATCGTTTTGTTCCTTTTGATTGATTTTTCACTGATTTATTTAATCTTTATTAACCAATATAAATTGACAAATGGCGGATTTAATGTCAAAGAGGAATCCTCTATCAGTTAACCAGTGATTGTGGTATAGATATTTTAATGCGACGATTATCATAATGTTAATTCATTGGTTTATTGGTTTATTCAGTGTAGGGAGGTTCTAGGTACCTAAACTAAGAGTTAATGTTTCTGGTTTCAAAACCAAGGGCTAAGGGTTCTAAGTACCTCAGAAGTGTTGATATCAAGTAGCTTCTTTGCTATGGCTATTCAAGTTGATCACCAGTAATAAATGTAATGTAAGCAAACATGTAAAAGTAAAATACATATCCGAAGTGAATTGTGACAATGACTAATGTCCATTTGTAGGCGGTCACAGAATTGTATCGACATTGAAGTCCAGCCAACCATAGTAGGTTATACAAAAAAGAGAATAAACGCATAACAAATTGATGATAGGGTATAACTAACAATAGTTCTGTTTCGTGTAGTTTAGTTTTGTTTTGATGCTTAAATACATGGCTGTTTATTTTATTATTATATGTTATATCATACATATGTGTTTGCTTTTTTAAATTCCGAGGCTGAGGTTTCGGATTCGATTCCACTTTCATTTATATTATTGGATCAAAGTTATAAAAAATAAAGGATAGCTACTAGGGAGCAATGAAACGACCCGCTGCGGTTGGTTTGACAGACACACTAATTTGTTACTTTTAAAAACATAATGACATATGTATAAAAATAAAATAATAAAAAAGTTTAAATACATTTTATCAAAGAGTTCGCATCAAAAGTAGTTGTGGATCTGAGAAATATATTAGACGTTATTAAATAAGTATTTGCTGTTCTCGTATGTATATGTTTAGACATTGTATTTTTATCCCACTTCAAGCCAATTACATTCACATGACATCCATTTAGAAGGTTAACTGGTATCTACCATAGTATCTTCAATATATGTGACAGTACTTTTATTGCTTTCAATGAGAGGATGGAAAAATCTTCATATTTAATTTTTCGTTGTAATAATAAACTTATAAATTCTCAGAATCAAGAGTATCACTGTGAAATTAAAATTATTATAATTTAGAGAAATAATAATAGGCTTTTTATTATTTTTCATTCATATATTTATAAATATTCTATATGTCGGCGGGTAGTCCGAAGGGGCTATTACGAAGCCCAAATAGATGGTCCATATCGGAGGACTATCTTTAAAATAACACTGCAGGCGTGTATACGTCTTTAATCCTCGGCGATCGGAAACAGAATGTGTGCCAAAATGGCGGCAACTTGGTTTTTATAAACGAACTGTCAAAGTCAGTGTCACCATTCTAATTAAAAGTATCGATGATCACGCTCTCTCTACAATCTTGTAATTAAGTAATCGAGTAACTAGCAATTAAAATAAAAGAAACTAAATCAAACGATCTTCGTAAAGATGATGCGACATATATAAAAATAATAATAAAGAAAGTTATTCCCGAGAGGAAAAATACTTACATAATTTTCTTTTCTGAACCACAATAACATAGCAATAAATTCATTCGTTTGACTTGTAAGAACTTTGTTTGTAGAATAGGTCTTATTATTTATTCCTCAAATGGCAAAAACTTTATCACTGAAAAGCATATATATATACAATATAAGGCAGCATAAAAATTACTTTTATTTGTGTCTCGAATATGTTTAAGGTGGACAAAAAAAATCTGTATAACAAACAATATTGGTTTTAGCAGAAATTATATTTTATCAGCGATAGTAGGCCTATTTATTTACCAAAATAAAAATATACTTGATAGAAAAAAGGGTTGAAATATATTTTAGACTGAAAAAGGCTTTCGATACAGTAACTCTTAAACAAACTTTCATCTGTGTCATTAAAATGTACTAAAACAAAATGAAAAAGTTGATAGCTACCGAAGATATGGCGTGCCACAAAGTTCAAACTTAGATCCATTGTTACTTTTAATATTCACGCATAACGAAATAGAACGTAGCAGTACTAGCACATGTAGAAAGCAATCTATACTTATATTATAAAGAAGAATGATTTGATTGTTGTTTGTATGTTAGTCTTTCCCCTAAAAGAAAGGGGAAGGACATCATACGGGGTTGACATAGGCTATAATTTACGCGTGTGAAGTCGCAGGACAACAGTTACTTTTTATAAACTTTAAACGTCATTCATTGAGTTAAGTTACAGTGAGCATAGTAGGATGAATTTATAATTAAAATTTATTCATTGGAAAAATGTTATTTTATCCAGTAATCAATTATGGTTGCATATATATTTGGATGTTAGAAGTAACTGAATGTTTCCAAAATACAGAGTGTTCGAAAAAGTTTGTTAGTATACTACATCTTCACTATACGTTCTAGTGCTAGCAGTAGACTAAAGCCCCACCACGCGGGCCCAGATCGGATTGATGGGTGTTACTAGGTAACTGTAGATGCAGTCGAGTCTTCCATAGCTCTGACAAGTTCGTGATAAAAATTTTTTGGTTAACCATCCTATGATCGGCCCTTACGACAGTTGCTTAAACTTCACATACCAAACGGAATGGTTAGAGATTCCGCCATTGAACTCTTCCCCATGAAAAATTAACTTTCTAACTTAATAATTAGTACCTATCAATTTGTACTGCGGCAGTTTATTTTTATTCAATATGATTTTGTTTTTACAGCTCTACTCATATTACACGCTATTTCAACATTATGTGTAAACATGACTTGAGTTTGCTTTAACAATAAAAAAATGCAACCTTCTCAAATTTCTCAATATCTTTAGCTTCATATAAATTATAGGTTAATTAGGACATTTATGGAATTCATTTTTATTTATATTGTTGATATTGCTTAAAAAATCCACTTGGTTCCAGACACTCTGAGATGGGATTCGAGCCTTTTAGCAACCCGGGCGACTGCTCTAACCTCTGAGCTGCCCAGTGCCCTTATTTTTTGACGCTGAGAAATGCGTCACGCATACCCGCTCCCCCCAGCGCAGGGTCGGCGGGTTATGTGGGGCTCCTCCTGCGACCCCACCCCCGAAGGGGCTAGACAAGCAGGAGTTTACCCACTAAAAAGCCGCCATGTCCCTTGTATGAGGTCGATGTTCGTCCCCATTTCGGCCCGCCTTGAAAAGGACAGATCCCAGACAGTTGGGGGTGCGTCTCAGAAACATTCGAGACGCACCCCCCAGACAGAGCGAGGGCGTGCAATGCCCGACCAGCGCGCAAACCGGTCAGACTGCCCCCGACGAGGAGCTGCCCAGGACCTAACAGAACTGACGAATCTTTCAAGCACTAGTTATTTTTCGCTACTACAGATATTATTCTCATCAATGTTCAGGCAATCCATCCAAACAACCGAAAGAAATATTTTTCCAAATATGTTAAACTTTTGAAAAAGATGAAAATTTGTTTTAATTATTATATTTGATTAATTTTGCATTCACAACGAAAAACATTATTAATAAAAAATTTTAGGGACCAAATGGATTTTTTAAGCATTTTAAGCATGAGATTACTCTCTGTAGTAGCAAAAACGTAACAAAGAAAGATTCATCAGTTCTGTTAGGTTTTGGGTACCTCAGTAGTTAGAGCAGTCGCGTGGATTGCGCAAGGCCAGGACCAAGTGGATTTTTTAAGCATTTTTCATCAAGAATATGTCTATAATTTTTTTGTTCAATGCGATTGTTTATGAAAATCAGTATATTACGTACTTTATTAAGCGAAAGTTTGTGACAATTCTAAGCCTACATTAAAATATAGGTAACTTTTTATACCACTAATCAGTTTCCTAGGGACCGTAACTAAGCGATAGCTAGTGAATATGTTAATATTGTTCTTTCATGTTTATTTAATTTTGTAATTTGTTTTCAGGTTTATGCATAAAGTGTTACCAGTGTAATTCACAAAGTGATCAGGCATGCCGCGATCCCTTCCAGAAAACTTCTAAGTCAGTAGTAAGTGTCTTATCTTTTCAATTAAAATTAATGCTAAAGTGGAATATTGTTGTGGCATAAAGAAACTCATATATATACATTACCACTTTATATAATACACTCCTTTTTTGCATATAATATCTTTAACTCGTATGAATTAACGTGACTATTCTAATCTCGAATCGTTCTTTTAATTTTGTACTATTATATTCTTGAAGATTATCTGTGCATCAGAGGCAGTGTCCGGTCCCACGTTCATTGCATTATTAATTATCGAGAAATACGTTTGTTTGAAGTCGTATTATATGAGCTGTTATTTATCATTATTACATCCTATTTAAAAATGAATTATCATTATTACAGGATTGCAACACTCAAGATTCTTACAACTACAACAATAACTTCCTGAAGTTCCTCCTGAATCAAGAAGATAACAAGAACCTGAACCTTGTTGGAGCCACAAGATTCTGTCACAAAATTATTACTTGTAAGTGTTGCATAAAATTCTATGACTATACTCAGTTATCGGAGGTACAATTTGGTAGCCAGACGTTTTTAGAGATGGGGACAAAGCAGCCGATTCTTCTCAGTACAAGGTCTCCCGCCGTAGATTTACGAACCGATGGCATTTTCTTTCGAAAAAGCTTTCAACTTTCACAAGTACTTATAACATCCAAGACTGAGTAAATGATATTGAATTTGAATTTTGAATTGATGATAATATTTATGAAGTCGTTATTTTTAAGTATTTTTCATTAAATATATGTAACATTGTGAATACAAAATTAATGAAATAGAATTATTAAATTTATATAAATAGAAATTTATTATTAGTTCATTTTTTTCACGTCGTGAAAAGTTCAAGTTGGTAACGTGCAGCTATCAACTTACACCTCCGATAATGGTGTCTACTAAAGACATTCACTTCATTTAGAACATATACTATGCTAACCTAGACTAGGTTATGATGAAATTTTCAGTTACTCTTGTTTAAAGCAATTTGCAATATCATGGTAAATAAAACCTCGTTCTGTAACACTAAGCCTCAGACAAATCAATGGAGAATTTGTCAAGACACTAATGCCCGTTTTCACAAATCTTAGGAGTCACCCAAATTTGTTGCCTAAATATTTAGGGATCGTCTAAGGTAAAAATGCATTTCACCATTAACTAAGAACCACCTAACGAAATTGAGCAATGTCTAAAGTAATTATATTCGTTATACGGCGCCTTGCGCTATGCGTCATAAATATGCCAAGGGATAGAAGAAAAAAATATCTATTTGGAATTCAATTAATCTGCTTAGGCGATTCGTAATATTAGGCGTATCCTAGTTAAACTACGCCTTGTCCTAGATTTGTGACTATGGGTGTAAAACTCATATCATTTAAGAATATCGCAGAAAAATAATCCAAGTAATCTACGAATCTAAAATGTCTTATTCGTTCAATTATATGTTTAACCTAGCGTATACAAAAAGCTGGCTCAATAAAAAAATTTCGTTACAGCCACAGGCACCGTGATCCGTACATGCCTCGACTCCAACCCGGTAAACAAGAACCAGTCATGCCAGCTGCTGGACTCAGCGTCCTTAATTGACCCCTCCAAGAAGATTAGTCATTGTAGCGTTTGCGACACCGACAACTGCAACGGCGTCGGCGCCATCTCTTCATCGCTCCCTCTCGCTGCCGTAACTGTTATCATTTCCTATCTTGTCTATAAGCAATAATGAACACAAAACTAGTGACACAATATCGTTGGTCTTAGCTTCTTGCTTAACGCTTCCACATACAGTGGTATTTAAACAGCAAATGTATTTTCTTCATACACGGAACCAAGATTGGAAAGAAATAGACAACTAGTCTTCTATTAATCGCTCAGTTAGTACGATTCATATTTTATTCTTGTAGGTTTCGTATGTGAAGAAATCAAATACTTAGGTAAGCTAATAAAAATACTTAAGTCATTTTCATTGTATTATCCAATATGGGAAGACGAGGCCAATGATAAATATTGCCTTTAAATAAACGACCGTCCAATACGATGGGTGTTACGTTCGCTTTGTGAAAAATTTTAAACGTGTAGTTTTTATGTAGATGTGTAATTAAATAAGTTACGAATTATTGTCGGAGGAGGTTTTAATTCTTTACAATAGGGATGATGCCTGAGTAAAAAAAGAAATCCTGTTAGGGTCATCAGTCAAATAATAGAAAAAGATTAAATTAAAGTTGAAGAATGGCGGCCGTCACAGCTATGCAGAAAACGTACAAAGGTATGACGTCATACGTCATTTCAACTCCGTATGTATGTATTCATGTGTCACCGTAATTATTTGATTACGCAAAAAATTCAAAACAATTAATATTATTTAATAATCTGCCCGACGGACAGGCAATCAAAAATTGGTCATCATCCCTATTATTTTATTTTTGACCATAGGTTTAAAACGTACAGCGGCTTTTAATCTTTTTTAAACAAAATCAAAGATAAATTCCATATATAATATTGTATTCCATGTATAATAAGAAACAGAATGAGATATCTTCTATTTATTTTAAAAATATTGGAACCGTTTGTATGACGTTAAAAAAGTAATTTATTTTCTGTCACTAAAACAATGTGTACACAAATATTCATAAAGATTCAATGTTTATTACATATACAATGTACCTTATAACACCATTTGATATTAATGTTAATGCTCTGTTGTTGTTGTTGTATTCAATAAGATATAAAATAGTTAAATGTCTAACATTAATTGGTGATAAATCAATTTTTAAAGAAGATCTTTTGGGTTAACATTTATAAGAGATAAATAATTCTTGGAAACAAATTAGTATATTAAAAAAAAATGCTTATGTAATTTTAGATTGACGAAGTTTCCTTTATTTTGGTTTAGAAAAACTTTAATATTTTACCTTATCGAAGTTAAGTAACGTATGTTAACCTTAAGCATTTAATGTATTTTAATAATTTAAGTTTAATAAAAATTGTTTTAGGTTTTATATTCAATAAAGTGAATAAAATTATTAGTCTTTTTACTAACTTGGTCTTGATATTTTAAAATATTGCCTATCGTTGTAGTTTGAAAGTAAACTACGAGGATTTCAAACTGGTGTGAGATTACAGTTTACATGAAAATTATTGTAATTGAGTGCAAATCGGATTGGTATTGAGAATTCAATTTTAACAACAATTTGCAAATTTCCATTCACCTTTTCTTGTCATTACATAATGTATGCAGCAACCCCATTTCAGAATTAAGATTATAATACCAAAATGTTAAATTTTTTGGTTGATACAGTTGAAGAAGAACCAAACAAAATAAAGCTTAAGGTGCCTACTTTTTCTCGTAACACTTCGTCGGATTTTTGGACTTACATAACTATTATGTTTGGATAATTCACTACATACATCAAATTATCGGGGTGTAATCCCAGTAACGAACTTATTAAACATACAAAGTTTCAATTGCATAACTACTTTTGATTTCATTGATATCGAAACGATTTCAGTACTTATAGGTATGTATACTAACTCACTAATGACTATCAAAACCTATGGGTATTTTCTGAAAACTTAGAAAGCTGAAATTTAGTATCAGTATATAGATAACAGAAAAATCCATAACCTTGGAACTTTTACTCTTTCTCTCTTAAATTAGGGAATGAAACTTGCACAAAATTGATCCTAGGGGTCTAAAGTTTTCGGAATGTTATCCTAATAATTAACTTAATAAACATAAAAAATTTGAAATGCATAGCTCCTACATTTTTGATTTTAATAATATTTTAAGACCCCGTTTTCGATACTTACGATGGCTTTTCCGTTTTGCTATCGTCACATAGGCTTAAGTTTACTACTATTATATGTACAACAATGGTAAGAACGACACAACCAAGCCAACCAAGCCAACCAACACAAAGTTTTGAATTAGGTGTAAAGTTAGAGTTTGTAACATTTCGAGTATGGCGTGTAGAGTTAGAAGCGTGGCTCTACATGAGATCTAAAAACTTTTTGATAGTATAAGCCATATGGTCTCGTCTTGGGAACATTTTACATGATAATGTTTTTGGTGGAATAAAACTTACGTCATTACAATAAACATGTTAGATTATTTATGTAAGTATTTGAATTAGATTCTTTCAGTCTTGAAGAAGAAGTTTGACCTGCTTAGTCATTAGCTGGTATCTATGAAGTGGATTGCAATATGCATTCCCGTTATCAGCTGATATGTGGACAAGAGTGGAAATTATCCGTCGTAACTACAGGCGGTTCCGATAATTATTTAGGTAGTTATAAACCTTATTTGTAACCTTATTTTCAAGAATTCATATTGATTTAATTTTCGCCTCAGATAGCTATTATTTTCACTGAAAATGATTACACACTTTGAAGCCATCATTAAATCGTTTATTAGCGTTAACATTGTTATTTTTACGACCTCTATGGCCGTGTAAGTCATACCGGTTTCGAGGTATGGTCTATTTCAAAGGTCCAGGGCTCGATTTCCGGTTATGTCAATGTAGAGGATGAATTTCTATATAGCCACGAATCTGAGTGATGTGGTACTTTCGCTGTTTCAGATTTCCGTAATGCTAGAGCTAAAAACTATTTCATTTGGCATCTGGGAAATGTATGTGATGTTTTCTAATATTTATTTATCATAGAAATCTAAAACAGCTTTCCGATATCTATGATTACAATACTTATTTTCAGTTTAACTATAGAATTCTAAGGTCAATATCAAAGGACAAATGAGATGTTACCTTTGACAAAAAAATGGTCCAAGAATTTTGGAATCGTTGAATTAATATAGGCACAAAATATTAATTAATATTTGAAATAATTAAATTACAAATGTAATTTGAAGTCGAATGATTAGAAATAAATCATGGCATCATTTCGGTTACTAAAAAACACTCTATATAATGAAAAAATTTCCTTATAAAATAATTGAGCAAAGACAAATGCGTTGTCTAGTACAAGTGGTTTTGTAGGCAAGTTGTATCAATCATGACGTCTATTAAACAAACCGAGTGGCTTTTATTAACCTCATTTATTATACTCGTATTTTACGCAAGAGACGGTATGTATCGAAGTACTGCTAACTTTAGAAAATTTGACTTCTTTGAGTTTTCTGTACATGTATTGTGAATTTTTATTAAAAAGAATGTAAATATAATATATATTGACGGCCCTCTTTGCTTTAGCCATTCGACTTTGGCTTTTAACTCCTCCTAAACTACGCACCTCCACCTGTACTGATCTGGTCGAGTCACTATTTATTTTATATTACTTTTCAATACAAAGATGAGTTTAAGACTTCAAATATGGCTATTATTTTTTATTTAGTTATATTTAAAAGGTTACTGATTTTAAATTAATTTTGAATCGAACCAATCGTTGAATTGGGCCGCTTGAGATCTGCCCGGGCACACCACCATATGTCGCAATTTCTAGATTTGATGATGGAAAATCACGATTAAATGGTTGGCAGATTGACGAGAGTGACGTATTTGACCAATTTCTCGATGTTTATTGTTTAAATAAATAATTACTAATTAATTTCATTACTAATTCATTACATTATTACTAATTTTATTTTATTTGCTTACATACAGAGATGGCTGGTAGTAGAAAACCCAGATTGTTACCCATCTCTGCTTATATAGTGCTTTGGTCACTCTACAAAATTGATTGGCCGGAGTGTAGTCGGGCAAATTGTCAAACGTTAAGTATTGATCGATAAGGCTGATTATAGATGACCAAATCAAGAAATGGCGGCATATCGTGATATGCCAGTGCAGATCTCGATCGACCCAATTCAAAGATTGACCAATCATATCAAGACATACATTATATAAAATATCAGGCTCATTTATATCGGATTCAACTAGGATTAATAATACCATTTCGTTATTATTTTAGTAAACAGCCTTCGATGCCACCATTGCACCAATTGTAATGCAACAAACATGCAAACTGGAAAGTGTACTGTTATAATTACATCGTCCACACTTACTACAACGTCAACTGTAGCTTCATCTACGACGTCATCTACAGTCACTAATGGAACGGCATCTTTACCGACAACTCTATCTACAGTCACTAATGGATCAACATCTTTACCGACAACTCCATCTACAGCCACTAATGGATCAACATCTTTACCGACAATTCCATCTACAGCCACTAATGGAACAACATTTTTACCGACAACTCCATCTACAGCCACTAATGGAACAACATCTTTACCGACAACTCCATCTACAGTCACTAATGGAACAGCATCTTTACCGACAACTCCATCTACAGCCACTAATGGATCAACATCTTTACCGACAATTCCATCTACAGCCACTAATGGAACCACATCTGTTGCCAACAATCAAACATCATCATTAACAACAGCTCCAACACCTGTTACCAATTTAACAACAACCTTACCCACATCATCGGCCCCAAATTCAGAACCAACTTTTACGACAAATATAAAACAACAATTAAAGGATAACTATCATGTGCTAAGAATTAAAAGAGCTTTAGAAGAAGAGAGCATTAAAGAAAATTTATTGATGCACAACAACTGTGACTGCGACAATGTATGGACGCAAATCTAAAGAAATCATATGACATTTTATTTATTAAAATACTTTAAAAAATCGTTATTTTTTCAGGGACTTTGTTATTGCGATAAAGAAAGATTCGTTTCTTTCGCTGCCATAAACTACGTCTGTGTAACTGACATTCAAAAAGGTAATTTTTTTAATAATATGTTTGCAATTCTGAATAATAAACACACATACACTCACGCACTAACACAACACATACACATAATCACATATGTATATTTTTTGTAGACAACTTGTATAAGAATTTTATTTGGGGTGGAAGACGCTGGCAGTTGTATCACAGCTCATACTTCTGCAGCTGTCAACGTTATACCGTGTCAAATTAAGTTATAAATTGTTATTCTTTTGTAATTTGGAATGTATAAGGAATTGAAATAAATTGTAATTATTATTAATTCACTTTCGCAATTCTATTTTATATTACATTGTTTATTTACTGATTTTTTTTTTCATTAAATAAACTTCATCTTGGACTGTATAACAGCTTTATTCATTTATTTTACAGTTGATGGTGTCGACGTAGTTAATAAAGGATGTGCTGTGAAATTAAACACAACGTCTTATACATGTCAGGAATCAGGATACAGCTCGAATTGTAAAATTTGTGAAAAGGATCTATGCAATCTAGCAGTTTCATTGAAGTTATCCTCTGCGTTATTAATATCCGTATTATTTCTGTACTTTCAATAATTTTCAACAGTTAATTTAGGACTATCACTTTATTTATATATCAATGCCATGTGTTAAGCAATAAAAGTATTTGGTTTTGGTAAGATTTTGATATTGTTATATAAATATATATCAAAATAATCGTGTATATATTTTCACACAGTCACTGTGAAGAAAATATTAATTTAACCTAATTAAGTTAACACATCATAACCAGAGGTCGGAATTAGGTAGAGTTATTTATGTACTTGCATCGAAATGTTGATAATTATGTAGACCTTCCCGGGATTTCTAATGGACAATCCCGTGTGGCCAACAATCTTACAACTAAATAATAATAACAACGTCAGAGATAGACAAATAAAACAAAGATAATTAACATAAAATTTTTATTACTTTACATCGCGCGTATTAGTATTTTGCAACTTTGGACATCCGATGTCATTGATGTAAGTATGGCAACGTCGTGCGTGCAGTAGTTTAAATTGTGTAAAAGTAAATAACTTTTTATTTAAAAAACCACGGGATTTTTCTGCTCTTTAAAATTAATCTCGGGATTTGAGCCATATCCACTTTATTCTTTCGCTGTATGAAATCAGTGTAAGTAGATGAATAACTCTACCTAATTCCGACCACTGATCATAACGCGACAGTGAAATATAACCTTTATTACCTTATGAATTAGGTTGGTTTAATAAGCTGCCATCGGTAATATGTATATTTTATGATATTTAGGGAATACCAAAGCTATATCTATAGTGACTTAAAATTTTTATGTCATATCGTAATCGCTAAAAATAATAAGTAATCAAAAGGCATCGCTCAAAATTGTATCAAAAGATTATATTTTAACTATAATAATTTCATATATTAATATATTACACGGACAATATATGTTGGTGACCCGCTACGTAAACCTTTTTGGCATGTTTATTTTCTAAATTCTCAGTTTTTAAATAAATGTCATTCATACTTTTAGACTTACGAAACAAATGAAAAACTTCAGTGTGAGAATAACAATATACGGCTGCGACAGTGTTTTCGTGGTTTCCTTTAAAATTACCTGGTAGCCAGATCTCTATCTTTTTCATTGGTGTCAGAAGTGGGATAAATTAATAACGATCATGCCCATGGTTACCAGGTCTCGTGTTTGCCAAAACCAGGAAACCCGTAAGTCTACTTCCTATAGTACAGTGCGTGAAGTGTCTAACGAAGCCGCCTCTAATCGTGGTAGCGCCTCTATTACCGGCGCCCTAGCGCCAGCGTTACCCAGCGTGCTCCACACCGCGCCACAAGATGACTTACTTACCACTGCATCACAATGCACCCCAGCGCCGCCGCCAACCAATTCTCCTCGATCGTGTACGAAATCTACAGCAAAAACTATAAAAGCACAGCAGCTGGCTGCCAAATTGAAACATGCTCGACGACAAGCCGCAATAGAAAAGGAATTGGCAGACTTGGAACTGGAAGCCGAGCTGGCTGCCATTACCTCTTCTACTTCAAGCCATTCACGTTCGGATTATGTGGAACAATGGTTAGTCGCTTCGCATGATAACCCCGTAGATAGAGCTTATAATAACCGTTCTATTATTTTCGATAGAGAGAAACGTGTCGATTCACTATGTAGCGCTCCACTAGAACAACCCCCAGCGTCACGTTTGGCAGAAGATAGAGATGCCCTAGTATCTGCAGCACGAGGCTGTACTATACCACGCCTGTCCCCGCCTACCTACAACGATGGCCCTCGGGTACGAGCCGCCGACACATTCACAACTACACATGCTCAAAATATAGGTACACACAACAGTAGTAATGATTGTAATTTGTACAAAAATAAAATTAACAATAAAACTGTAGGTACACATGACAACATTACTTTACTGGCGAACGCTATACTGGATCTAGGAAGGAAGACGAAGGTCAGTGATCTCCCTAGGTTTGATGGTCGTGCTTCCGATTGGCTCTCGTTCAAAAGGACGTTTGAGCAGTCCGAAGCAAACTTCTCGCCCATGGACAACATCGCCAGAATCTCCACTGCGCTTCATGGGTCTGCTAAAGAGGCAGTATCCATGCTTCTCGTCTCTGCTAATGACCCGCGGCAGATAATCACAGCCCTAGAGAACAGGTTTGCTCAACCGGAGTTTATTATACTTCAGCAACTCTCGCAGGTGCGAAACCTTCCTAGACTTGGCACCTTCGAATCTTCGCGCGACCTCAACATCTTCGCATGCCGCATTAGAAACTGTGTTGAAGTAATTAGACTCCTCAATCAACCTGAGTACCTCGCAGCGCCTGAATTTGTCAACACTATCGTTGGTAAGTTAACACCGTTGTTGCGTTCGAGATGGGTCGACTTTGCCGCGAATAAATGCACTTCAGGCCAATTCAAATTAGAAATTTTAGCAGACTTTTTGGAAAATGAAGCATATTTACATGTTAAATTTGGATTTATTTCTACAGAGTCGACTCAAATTGTCAATCGGTCTGTCATCAAACCATCCGTCAAAGACAAAGTCTATGCAATCCCATCCGTCGAAACGTCAAGTAAACCTAAGATCACCTGTACTCTATGTCAATATTGTCAAGAAAAACATGACATTATAGATTGCAAAGAGTTTGTTTCACTTGACATTGACAATCGTTGGCAGTGGACCATAAACAATAAGGTATGTCGTAGATGTCTGAAAAAAGGATCTCACCAGTATCGATCATGTAAAAAGAGGTGCGAGGTACAAGATTGCAAGTATAATCACAAACATCATACATTACTGCATCGGGTTGCTATCTCGTCGACAGCTGCTCATACTAATATACAGCTAACCCCTTCAACGTCTACTGATATCAAGGTACAGACAATCGACAATATTCCTCGCGATACTCTTGATCAAACTTGCGATTCTAATGTTTCTAAAGACGAGAATATAATTGCCACTGTAGGACATAGCCTTTGCCCTTCTAGTTTATTAACTTGTAAGCCTCTGCTTAAAGTGATAGCGGTTACTATCACAGGACCGAAGGGTAGTATAGACGCATACGCTCTTCTCGATGATGGCAGTTCTGTGACTCTTTTAGATCAGTCAATCGCGGACTTTGTGGGCGCTAAGGGCCCTACTAGCAAGCTAACCATAGATTGTATCGGAGGGTTGAACAAACAAACCGATGTTAGTTACGTCTCAATAAAGGTTAAAGGTCGTCATAGCTTAGAAACTCATGAAATTAGGGCGAGGTCTATTTTTAATTTAGGCATAAGCAGACAGTCGGCTAATATTGATAATATCGTGCAATATGAATATTTGTCAGATTTGGCAAACGTATTATGCTATACGGAAGCCAAACCATTGCTTTTAATAGGAGCTGATAATTGGCATCTTCTTCTTACGAAAGCCGTACGTCAAGGAACTCGTAGCCAACCAGTGGCTGCACTTACAGCCTTGGGTTGGGTACTTTTCGGATACGTGCCATGTTCACAATATGTTAATATGTTGAACCATTATTTCGTTCATCACATCGATGACTCTCAAAATTATGATGATTGTTCTTTAGATGCGCTTTTAAAACAATATTTTAGGCTTGATTCTATTGGAATAGAAAGCGTGTATCACCGCAGTGCTAGCGAAGACCGCGCGTTTAAGATTTTAGAAAATACTACGACACGCCTAGACTCTGGTAGATATCAGACGGGCCTTTTAAGGCTAGATAATATTCCTTTCGTTCCCAAGAGTCGCGATCTAGCATTATCACGTTTTTTTAGCCTTGAAAATAAAATGGCAAAAGATAAGTCTTATGCCGAAGCATATAAACTAAATATTCAGGGTATGCTTGACAAGGGTTACGCAGAGCCATGTTCAGATCAAACTTGTGGTAGAATTTTGTGGTATCTTCCACATTTTGGTGTCGTACACCCACAAAAGAAGAAGTTGCGCGTCGTACACGATGCAGCAGCGAAGTGTGCCGGGCTAAGCCTGAACTCTTTTCTGCTGCCCGGTCCCGATCTTCTTCAACCGTTGTTGTCTATTGTTATGCGTGTTAGAGAGCATCCGGTGGCTCTTACGGGTGATATCAGGGAAATGTTCCCGCAGATAAAAATTAGACCTGAAGATAGAGACGCGCAACGGTTCTTGTGGAGGGACGATCCAAAGTTACCAGTTCAAGAATACCGTATGTCTTCGATGATGTTCGGTACCGCGTCGAGCCCATGCACTGCTTTGTGGGTTAAAAACAATAATGCAATGCAATTTCAGTCGAAATACCCCGACGCGGTAAAGTCTATCATTGAAGACCATTACATGGACGATTTTCTGGGCAGTTACAAGACTGTTGACGAAGCTGCTCGCAGAGCATTCGAAATTGTAACCATACACAAGGCAGCTTGCTTTGAAATGAGATCAAATCGCAAAGAAGCCCTTGCTCTCATTCCTTCTGAATTGCATGCAGTCAACGTTACAGAAGTAGGTCTAGGTTCCGCGACACAGTCACAGGTTAGGGTTTTAGGTCTCACGTGGAACGTTAGCCAGGACACGCTATATTTTATGAAGTTGTCGCCCGAATTACCGAAGATCTTTTCTAAGCGTACTGTACTCTCATTATTGATGTCCTTTTATGACCCTCTAGGTCTCATTACCCCAGTAATAATGAAAGGTCGCGTGTTATTCCAAAAAACGTGGAAATTAGGTTCCGATTGGGATCAAATATTACCAGACGCCTTGGTTGACAGTTGGAAGGAATGGTATTGTGAAATTCAAAATTTGGCTAATAAGGAGATTCCAAGGTGCTATTTAGGTTTTTCCGAATTACCTGTCAAAGATGTTCAATTGCATATTTTTGCCGACGCTAGTGAGCGCGCCTATGCGTGCGTAGCTTACTGGCGCTTAACTTTTGAAGATGACAGTGTAAGTTTAGCTTTAATCGGTGGCAAGGGTCGACTAGCTCCATTAAAGCCAGTGTCTATCCCCCGATTAGAGTTACAGGCAGCACTAATTGCTGCCCGTTTTGGTAAATATATACTTGACGCACATAGGAGAAAGCCTAGCGCTACATACCACTGGACGGATTCCACCACCGTCTTAAAATGGCTGCGCAGCGACGCCTGTATATTTAAAGCCTTCGTTTCTTTTCGCGTTGGAG